GCCAATCAGCCTTTGTTCCTTTGCTCTGTTCTAACAAATTCAAATTACTACACAAGCAATCCGTGAGCAGCACAAGCCTACCTTCACCTGGAGATTTTGCTTCATGTAAGAAGGAATCATTGGAAGAAACCCTTCAAACAAATCTAGAAATAGTATGTGTATGCCGTACCATTTATGTACAACCCAGACACACTTTGGTCAAAAGCAAGCTATCGGGAGTAAGCTTAAGAAAGCACACAAAACCTAGAGATCAGAAAAAAGCTGTCCCTTTAGAGGCAGAGGATACGGCAACCGACTGAGCAAAGACCATGTACTCTGCCAACACGGTTATTTGTAATAAAGTAATTACACCAGATGACAAGAACTGTAGCACAGCAGATTGTAACTTTTATTCTATAAATTGGCTTTCAGCTCGGTATTGCACTTGCTTATCGTACATCAGTTTTACTACATCGATTTGAAAGAGCCATTATTAACATACAGACTAGATTCACATCCTTAGGAGCTGAATGCCTTCGAGTTACTTTCCACTGTGGACTCTCACAAATGTAGCAGGTAGTTCTAAGACATCCTCTCCGTGACCAGCAGTCTTCCAAAAAAATATTTCAAAGAATGCATGTTATGAAGTAATTCACAGCAATACTCTCAGGCAGCCAGCGTTCATAGCAAGAACACTGCAGACGCAGTTACACAACCCTGCGCTGCTGTCGAAAAGGGCAATTCCTGCTCCTCCACCTCAACCCTGTGTTCCTGCTGCCCCGTGCCAAGAATAAGGCTCATGTTGCTGCACAGTCAGAAAGAGCAAAGAACGGATCCAGCAGAAAATAACACTACAGTCCATACACTCCCCAACCCTGCTGCCTGCACAGGTACGTGCACCTGGAACATCCAGCCAGGGCCAGGGAAACCACAACCCCTTTGGCATCACCCATTTCTGCTGGCTTAAATACCACCTGAACTGGCATCTGAGACTAGGAATCGCAAGAATCCTGATGGCTACTTCACGTCCAATGCAAAAGTCCACTTAATCCAGTATATATACAAGCCCAGTAGTTGAGCATCTCTCACCAGTCACAAGCTTCCAGCTTTTGTGGGCAAATATTAACAAACTCATCTTTCCCATTTTGTAACATCAAATTACCTTCTGCTGTCACTACGCGTCTTAAGAACCTCCGTGTACTAATGCTTAAATAAGAGGAGAAAGCCTCTCACTTCCAGCCCTTTCATCAGAAGAAAGGTCCCGTTCTCCCTGACCTTCCTCAAACAAAGACAGGAAAGGTTAAAGCTGAACTGCCTGCAACGTACATTCTGCTCATCTTTAAGAAGATATTTTTCAGAAAAGTGACAGTCCAAGACAACCTTGACTTGCACAATGCTCTTTCATACGACCTCATAATGCATCTTCAAAAATACACTCACCTCGCTTGGGTTTTGGGAAGCTCTCATGTAGCCGAAAGACCACCCTTTCCACAAAATGCTGGATGTCACACTGCTCCGGGCCACGGACAAACACCATCCAGTCATGGGTAAACCCTTCGGTGGTGGGCTTTTTCCGCAGTTGGGCTCGGTGCCCCAGCTCCAATTTGACTTGAACCGTGCACTGTTTTAGGATAGAGGCAAGACGAGAAGCAAAATGAAACAGCTTACGCGTTAGGCATAATGCTGAGCCCCACAGACAGAAGACGCTAGATCACCGCAGGAGAGGAATACAACAGCCTCCACAGAGAGATTAGTCTCATTCTGAAAAACAGTGTTATCAACAGAAAAGGTATCGTAAAAATAGCTCCTAGCACCATTTCATACCTACTTTATTCCTAATATCAGCATTGCAGAGAAAACAGCTTTAGAAGAGGGATAGGTTTATCTGCCTCACTTATCAACTAAATTGTCAGCAAAGTCCTAATTGCAGAATCTTTATTTCTAGAAAGCGTCAGAGACAGAACTTGATGTTCACAGCTTAAAGAATTCACAGCACTGACACAAAACTAATCTTAAAACAGGAAAAATTTGATCCTGAATTGTTTTTTTATTGTATTTTCTGGAACATTTAATCCATTAGAACACAGCTATGATGCTCCTTGTATTCTTTTAAATGTATTTTAAAGACCAAGTCTAACGTATAGCATGCCTGCACAATATCCACCACTAAAATGACCTAATTCTGATTTGCACTCCCGGATCCTGCTCTAATCACAGGATAACAGAGAAGGTGTATTCAATATCTCACTCAAACCACAAAAATTCCATTAAATATCTTAAAAACAGATTAAAATAATTACGAAGAGCCACATATTACCACAGACTTCACAGTCAGAAACAAGCAAATGAATGAAACAGATGTAATGGAGGAAAGACAAACGCGATTCAGACACAAGTTAACGCAAGCAAATCTTAGGGCAAGATTTGTAGAGACAGGGAGTAACACCCAACGTATCCAACTACTGACTAATTTTGTGCATATACATTATAAAAACCAGACCAACAGTACAGTGATCTCAAACTAAACCAAACAAAATCCAGCTTCAGCAACTGGAAGCTGATAGAAAAGGGGTAGGTTTTTGTCCTTTCTTCACCTAAGACATGAAAATAAGCGTCTCGTTCTTTCTAGCAGTTCTCAGTTACCACTGGGAGAGGCAACATTATTTGTTATTACCTATATTACAGGTGGACACAGAGACAAGCAGAGGGTGTGATGTTAGCGAATGAACACTGAAAGAAAAGAGCAAGCTTCCTGAGATCTAGACAAATGTTTAGGAAACGTATTATCCTCATTTTTCCCCACTGAGGAACCTCAACAAGGAGTATGACCATGAACGCTCAAAAAGTATTTTGTATATCGAACCTGACACTTTATGGGAATTTGATTTTTCAGAGCATGGTTAATAGTTCCTGAAAAAAGCATAAGTCACTTAATCTCAGTATTCTTTTCTTTGTAAAAAGATCACACAGGAGGTCTACCAGGCATCAAAGCTCGACCTCCCAAATTGCAGTCCAGTTCCAATTTCAACTGTAAGCCTTAAGACACTCTTTCAGGCAATTATCTTCATAGTAAAATACCTTCAGCTGCCATCCAACACACCAATTCCAAGGCTCAGGGACAAACTCATCTAATTAATTGCTTCACCTGCTTTACTACAACATTTCTTTAGGTTACGTTCCTCTGCAAGTTCTCTTGGCAGCCCTTTTTTTTTTTCTTTCCCATTCTGCACTTTAGGGCTTATCTACACTGGCTCCACCTCGCTCCTGCGCTAAAAATGAAGGTACACAGCCGCCTGTTCTTTCATGTCGTATTAAGGAATAAGAAAAAAGGCAAGGTGTGTTCCACTCAAAGCACAGTAATCTCTCCTGCAGCGGAAAAGCATTATGTGGAGACCGCCTGCCTAAATCCCAGGCTGGCATAGGAGGGTGTTTGCAGGCTTGCTTTATCTGGGATACTTCCCACAGCCTTCACATCAACTGCGCCAGTCTGTTCTGCAGCTTCACGTTATCGATTCCATAATTACCCTTTAAATTGTGCTACTGTTGCCAGTTACTACCTCTCTCCGGAGAAGTGCAAATGACTGTCAGTCTACAAAATTTGCCTTTCTCGTTGCAACGGCTGAGAAATTTGAGCTGAGAAACAGATGGGACTATGTGGAAGAGAACAAAATTCAACCTAAAAGAGAACTGTTTAACTGAGAGTGAAAGTTGTACTTGCTATACTCCTCACATATCGCTCCAATTAACAATCGCTATGAATTAAGCCAGAAGTTGAAACACATTGGAAAATAAGATCTCCTAACATAACAAACATCCACTGAAAATGGAGAGGTTTTGGTTTTTTTTTTTTTTTTTTCCCCCTCTTTTCCAAGCATGTCTCTCAACAAAGGGAAATCAGGATCCTATTCAAACAATTCCTCATAATACAAAGGAGTCCGCTTTTCAACTTCTCAATAAACATTCTGAAGGCTGTTCTGCGTTTTTTTTTTTTTCTTGTTTTGTTTGATGTGCTAATTACCTAGAAAGCCCTAACCAGTTGCCATTCCCTCTCCTGGGGATGATTATTCCAAGGATAACGGGGCTCACCTCCTCAGCCTGGAGGTAACCTGTTAGCAGCTCGCATGCCCTCGCACACAAA